ACGTTATGCTGGAAAAAGAATCGTATTGTTTTAGCTACTTTATTATTTATACACCATACCTTTTATTCCATAAATTGTCTAAATTTTGTTTACATTAAATGTGTTATTTGTAAACATTTATCAGAACATAGAAAAACTTAATCCACATATAATTTTTCTTCACGTTTTTATATATAGATTATTTACTACTGCAGCAGCTCAGAAAATTAATAAAACATGTATGTATAGAGCTTAATTAAGGCATAACCCACCGTACGCCGTTAATTTGAAAAGTTTCGTGAAGAAAATCAGTTCCTTGAAGTTGTCGAAAACTCTAGTCAAGTGAACATTCTCAGTAATGACTTTTTAAAATAAGTACTTTTCAGTAAAATCTACAGACCCAATGCGAATAAATTCAGTAAAAAATGAGTGCAATTATTAATTCGAGTATATCAAGTGCGAAACATGAAGTACATGAACATATCCTCCGTGTGTTATCATTCTTCCTACATACTTTAAAACATGAAGAAGAAAAACATCTAACTTCATTCTGTAGACCTTTCTTTTAAAGATCATAATTTAATCATACATTAAGAACACTTGGAAAAAAAGAAAAAAATATGGTGCGATACACACTTTAGTCAGTTTCAATAATAATGAAAAACAAGAAATATCTCAAAATTTTGTCTAATTAAAAAACGATATATTTCTTTTTTGTTTTATAACGATTTTTTTGTTTTATTTAAAAAAAAAAGTGGATAATAAAAATATTTTTCCTTATCATGTAGTTAAATATAAAAATCATAACATGGAGACAATCATTTCAAATAAATATTAATTTTAGGTCCTGAAATTTATATGCGATAGTTACAGATTTGTATTTTAGAATCATAACAACATTTACGGCTTGCTCATATTTCCCACACGAAATATTGAATTCACTCTTCTTTTCATTTCTTTAATTATTACCCGTTAAATAGAGATATCTCTACGCTTTATAATATTCTAAATTACAATATTCTATACTGGTAGCATAACATTAAAGCTTAAAATTTTATGTTGCGTTTTATATTCTACAAATTTTCGGATCATTGGCACGAGTAGATAGATTAAATTATAGCTATCATTATAGTTACTTATAGTTTTGATGTTTTTAACTACCATTGCAACGATAGAATACTCGCTAAAAACTTTTGCGATCTAATTCCCTATTTCTGTACAAATTAAATTGGAAATCTCAAAATTATAATACAACCTCCAATTCACCATTTATTACATCATGTAGTCGCAAACCGTCTTTTTCCATCTCTTTAAGAAATTCGATTTTGAAAAAAAATTAAGTTGTCAAACTAAAGAATTATTTTTATTTTCATAAAAGTCATACAAATTCTATTCGCAGGAAATATTTTTGCAGACTCTCACAAATACAACAATATATATTGTGATATCTTCTCTACGTACATGTATTTTTTATAATATTATAAACATTTTTATAATATAATATTATAAACATTTATATATTTTATATAATGTTATAAACATTTAAGTACATCTAAACAATGTTTAATGCGGGTGAGACACTAATCTACAAAAATGTTTAGAAATGCTTTCAATTTACTATAAGAGCTGTGGATCCAAGACAATATGTTATACTCCATGATAAAACAAATCTTCTATTTAAGAAAACCTTAAAAGAAAAGTACACGACAAACTTCATTTTTAATTGAAAAAATAAAATGGTTTTATAAAGCACGAATTACAACCAGTCAATATCGTCAATATCACTGATCATCTGATGCAACATCAGCGGACATTGGCGTTAAAGATCATTGTCAATAACTTCTGTCTTACAGAATTATTTTATTTTTTAATTCAAAGTAGTACATGTCCTGTAGTTTTCTTTGATAACTATTTCAACAAGAATATTTGCCTGATCACGTAATATATTAGATTTTATTACCGATCTACAGTTTTTGAAAATAAACTGAAAAATATGAGAACAAGTTAACGCAGGATAAATGTCCCGCATAATTTAATGCTCCGTTAACCGTGTATCTACAAGATACATGGTTAACTTTATAGATTATAGATAATAATTACAGATTTAATAATTTTAGAAATTGAAGATTTATAGCAGTTCTAGGAAGATGTTTCCGAAGCCCTTCTTAGAAATGGAATTAGCAGATTTCTCTTTTACAACTCCTAATCGCCATAGAATTGTTCTTCCGTCGAATTTGTATCTTGTTCCGCCTATATTTAAAACTTCATGTAAATAACGTTTGTTATGAATAATTTAATATAGAAATCAAAGCAGGTGATTCCTCCGACTAATTTCATAAATTTGTAAAGTATTTTGAATAAATAATGTAAGTTTTAACCTTAACACACATATATAAAATTTATTTGATAATATTTACTTAACTTGATAAAGTTGCTAAATCAAAAGCAAAGAAAAATAATCATAAGAACTTTAGTATATTAACATAATAAAAATAATAATTTATGAATAATGCATTTATTTAAAACATGTACCTGCTAGATACAATGCGACCGTGATGTTACAAATACTCGCGCGCCAACGGAGGTTTAAATACTTAACCAGTTAACTGAGGCGATCTTTTTGCAAAGCGCGCACCAGTGTGTGTCGCGATAATCAAACGATGACGAGTTAGCTCTCAAGAATTTATGAATCCATCTCAAATCATTTACACTTTTTATTTGTTTATTTCATTTCGTGTTGACTTCTAAACATTTTAAACATATTACAATTTACAAATATAATTTAGTTTTCACCAAAATTACAATTTAAATATTAAATTGTAGCAAAATTTTACGCATGATGGATATAGTCATGACAAAAAATTCTGTCATATCTCCATGACGGATATAGTCGTCAAACACATTTAACTGGTTAAATGTTTATAATATTACAAAAATATACATAATTTTATTTATTGAAGTCAACATAATTATTTTCCATGAGCAAAATTTGTTTTATCTATTTGAATTTAAAATATTAACTTTTTTTCAGTAACAGTAATTAATACATAAAAATCTGCAATTTTACATTAGAAGCATAAAAAAAGCTAAAATTTGTTGAGCAGCATTATCATGTATCCGTCCTGTAGTGTCACAAATTAGATAACGTCAGTAGTAGGTGATTCTAAGTTACCAACAGTACATATGCTGCACTTCGGTGTCATAAAAGTTGATAAACTTGAATTTTCTAATTTTCTAATTCGAAAATTTGTCAACTTTCAAATTTAGAAATTCAAGTTTCGATATTTAGAATCTTTCCTGACTATAATTTTTTAACCTGTTAACCGGGCGGGACGTATAAATACGTCAAACGTAAACTATAGCATGTACGGGTAGGACATGTAAATACGTCCTTAAAATAATTGCGCCCTGGAACGAGTGGGACTTATAGTTTCGTACAACAAAGGTATTAGTCATCGATACATGTTTCGGCAAGAATTTAAGACACGGAGAAAATCAGTATCATTTCGCTATTGAGAGTGGTGGACATGTTCTAAATAAAAAAAAAAAATAATAATATGAAAGTACGTTCTAGTGAAAGAGTTCGCGCCCGTTGTACGCTGCGTAATTAAAAAGGGAATTCCCCGGTTAACAGGTTAAATATTATAAATTTCATCGTACTTGGAAATTCTCATATTTAGAAACTTTTAAATTTAAAAATATTCAAATTTTCAAATCCAGACATTGCTAGATTTTTAAATTTAGAAAATTAAGATCCAAAATTTAGAAGATTACAAGTTTTGGAATTTATCAATTTTCAGATATATAAGTTTTTATATTTTCGAATTTTAAGTAGCATGCTTTATATCGTATATTTGCTGTCATAAATCCAGAAAGTTCTATGTTTTAATCGAATGTACACATGTAAAATAAAATATTATTGTGATCAGTCAATATCAGTCAATAGATTACGATTTATTTTAAATCTGTCGTTTTACACAATATTGTTATGCGATAACTTTCACTGCAATAATTGCAGTTTAAATTAAAACTTTCTGTACCATCACCTATAACTTTTTATAAGCCATTAAATTTTATTTTATGTTTTAAATTGTCTAAAACATAGACACATATTTATGTTACAATTGTCAAACTTAAGATTTCATTCTATTTGAATGAGATCTATATTTAAAAAATCTATACCTACTGTACACAGATGAACTAGATTTTACTAAACAGTCTGTTCGAAGAAAGGTGATGCAAGAACCGAAAACTCTGTCTACAGATCGACAGAAAGAACGCCAACGGTAAAATCAAAATATTTTATTGCAAATAATAGAAGATGTATAGAATTTCTGGATTAACATTACAAAGAAATATCTGCTGTTAAATAAACAAGATAATATTTTGACACGAGTAATGAATATCAACATATTTTATAATAAACTGATTGTACACGTGGCGTAAAATTACAATGTAAAGTGTGAACAATAAAAAAACTATATAATAAAAAATCGATAAAGAAAATATTACAATAAATTTTAACTAGAAAATAATATTACGATAATCCTGCATATAATTTTAATGAACACCACTAAGTTTTAGCTAAAGCATTATTACATTTAGAACTTTGTTCATTTTTTAACTTCAAATTAAATTTTCTGTCAAAAAATATTATATTAATGTAGCATGATCGAACAGATGGCAATTGGTAAATCATAATAGCAGAGGTAAATATTATTGGTGTATTCAAACACTGTTAAATTCAAATGAAATAAAAACATTTGAAGATAACAAACATTTCTTTTTGCTTGTAAATATATTAAAAAAATTTTAAATAAAAATTTGGAAAAAAACGTAGTTATTGAAAAGGTAAGGAATAATTTTAAATTTAAATTAATTTCCATTAAGATTAAAACGTTATCCGAAAACTCGAAAATTTTCGCATAAAAAATTATTACTTATTCTATCATTAGAAAATTATGTTTGAAAATTATTTGAACAATGCCCAACTCCGCATGGCAGCTAATTCTATTACTTACCTAATTCCGCATAGCAAAGCGCGCCGATCAACGACAAGACACCAGAAAAGACCCAGACGATCAAAGCCTGGCCAACACTACCGCTATTCAGTAAAACACCTTTCGGTGAAACAAAAATCCCGGCGCCAACGATGATACCCACAATGATTGCCACACCGTCCAATAACCCCAGTTCTTTTTTCAATTTCACAGCTTCCGTATCGTCGTCGGTCTTCGCGGGCCTCAGAACTTGCCTCTCGGCCGGCGCAACTTTATCCGGCATTGTGTCGTGTTTCAAGCTCTTCGAATATGTGCTAGTCGTGAGATACTTTCTCGTTAACGGCCGAAAAAGCACTGAACGGTACGAACATGTCGACCGGCACACAACTGATTTGCACGTGTGAAAACGAAGAAGAGGGAAAAAGAAACACACACAAACAATCACAGGCTTTGACCGCGTGGCGTCGTTCACTCGGCGGATACACGTGCGCGACTGCAGTTCCGTCTGCAATAGCGAAAATGGCGCCGCCTGTCGGTAATCATAATTTCCACACTTGACATGGCCCTGGGTACATAGTCTGCTATGGTATACAAACAGAATACTTTAGTCCTGTTTTGTTGAATTCACAATCAGCTAGTTTATTCTTACAGTAGCGCAGAAATTTGCATAATCTATGTATAAAATAATAATTTCTACCAGAATTTCAAATGACTAATTACATTTTTCATTTAATCATGGATAATGAGTCGACGTTTGCCACAAAATCGTCTTTTTTGAAATAAATCGGTCTATTTTTATTAAAAATGATTTATATCACATTTATGTTCTGTTGCAAATGAACAAAACTATTTTCTTGTAATCAAAAAATCATTTCGGATAACAGAATAGTTGTACATTAATTAAAAATGAATGTTTAATTTATGATTAACTTCTGTAATTAATAATTGAACTGCAATTACTATTTGAATGATTCTTTAACTGAAAATAAAAGTTTAATTTCTAGCTTAAATGTGTTAGAGATCGCAAGTTAATTTAGTTGAGGACTAAAAATTTGATTTCTAATTCACTTGTATGTAACATTAAAATTTATTTTTTAATCGAATCTCATGCAAGGAAAAATAAATTTTGCTCTTTTATTAATATTTCTTCAAATCAATAATTGCAAGTGAACTTTTAATTAAAGATTATTTAAATTACAAATAAAAATTTGTTCGCTGTAGCTAGATTTAATTAGAAAATAAAGTGTGACTTTAGTTAAATATTTCATTTCTTTGATGCTGCTACATCATCATGTTCCTATTATTAAATCGTCTTTAAAATTAATAACTATAACAAATTAGCATTATATGATTAACCATTGCTTTATTTACCAAATTTAATCAAATTAGATTAACACGATCTATATAGGATTATAAATATTTAAAAGCTATTGTTGATCAAAGCATTCGATTAGTAACATAATTTTAAACGAAAAATTAAATTTTAATTATCAATGTGAAGAAATTACAGTGAAAGATTAAATTAGACATGTACTTTCAACTATAATGTATTAAAAGAATGTTCAATAGATCGCTTTATTTATCTTATAAAATGATATAAAACAAAAATTAATCGCTTTCAGAAACGTGTATATTGTTAACTAAGAATTTTTTAATTATTTGTGCTGATATTTTATACAATGTACTGAATGATCTTCCGAAAATTTGTATTGAATTTCATTTGAGAAATGTATCTAAATTTAAAAGTTACTTTTTATAAATTATACTTATTGTTCCAAGAGAACACTATGATATATTTATCAAAGAATATTAACAGACCTTGACACAATTGCTAAATATATACAATTCTAAAACTTTATTGAATTTCTTTATAACTTCAGTTTTATTATTGTTATTTTAGTTTTTATTCAAATTGAACTGTTAATAATCAAAATTATTTAATTTTAATAAAACATTTGTTAATAGATAAATATTTGTCACAAGCTTTATATGTACATATATTCTAATGAAATGTTATATACATATATCATCTTTCTACTGAATTCACTGTAAAAATAAATGGTCACCCTATTTATGTACAAAGTTCCTTATCCTCACTTCCCCCACCCCGCCTTCCTCTTGATGTCATTGGTAATATTCATTAGCACCATGTCGCATTTGCATTATATACTGAGATTTCAGGCAAAATAGCTTTTAAACGTTTGTGGCAGTTGTTATCGAAATGTACTGTAAACAATAGACTTAATTAGAAAATCGGTAAATCAATTGTAGGACGACTATTTGCACTGATAACAAAATTAAAAACTATGTGTTGGTACTAATGTTTTAAAGGATATATTTAAAGTGTTGATTTTTCTTAAATTATTAGTAAATTTCATTTTAAGTGAGTAAAAAACCGTTTTTTATTTGAATTAAATGTATATTAAAAAATAAGACAAGATATTTTACCGTATAAACTCGTTATAATGCTACCTAACTACAAAATGATTTATTTTAACATTTGTTATTTCATTTATAAAATTGAAAATTATCGATTATACTTTATAACTACTCCATTTTTTAGTACTCATATTTCTTCTTTGTTTTTGCTTTTTTTTTAATGTACTACGAATGGTAGTACCGGTGATTATGAAACTGGTCTAACAATGTCACGTACTTTTTATTTGTACATATTTCAACTTCGTCGTTTTGGTGTTTAATAAATACGTGTACAGTATGGAACAAAATGCATATTTTGCGAGATATGTGTTCTTCTAATATAAAGCTTATCTATTATTGTAAAATTCCATAAATAATTTGTACAAAAATAGATTGTCTAATGTTTCATTTGTTACTGACCTTCTAGTTACGCACGAAGATGACTGTAAACCACAACACAAATTTGCAAAAATTGTGTCACGATGTTTAAATATAAATTAACGTGATAATAATAAAAAAATTCAGTTATTTAAAGCTTTCTAACTTAGACGACGTTCATAATCACCAGCATAATCACAATTGTTTATTTTCAAAGAAAAAATATCCACGTTACAAGTTTAAATTAACGCCTTGTTTTCATTGTACATGTTAATATTGATTGGAAATTTTTTGTAATTAATTTTTAATATTGTACTGAATTCATCATGAAAATAAATGGTCACTCTACTTAATAACATCCGAACCGAATAGTAACCTTCAAACGTGATATTTGGAAACTATAATACCATCAAGTCGAATATTTTCTTCTTCGTCGTGAAAATGAGAAATTATAGTACAGGAAGAACTATGATAAAGTGATGCATCATGGACATCGAAACAGTTCACACGACTTAACACGTATGGAATTGAGTCGTGTTTTGCACTAATGCGGACACGCGTGTTATTCGTGTTTTCGTAATCCGAGATTTGTCACTGATCTACATTGTGTATATTTTAGCAATTATGCAACCAGTATGAACGAGTCTAAGAATCGTTTGCATGCGTGACTATTTTGATCAATGTTTTGGTCAAGTTTGGATTCCGCTTTGACAACATTTGTCTTGTTTTTGCACACGATCGCGAGTGAGAAATAAAAAAAACACTGAGATTTCGTTTAGTAGAACTGCACTGCACAATAATGCCACCCATACTGCGTGCTAATGCATTACGTCGAAACCCTCGGAAGGAGACATTACATTAGCGTCGGCTCTACATTGAAAACAAAGTGTAAATCTACGAATTGTTTGAGTGTAGATAAATGTTCATAAAAAATACTGATAAAAGATGTGATTATCAATCAACCAAATATGTCACATTTATTATGTCGTGAATTAATGAGCAACTTTTTGTTGATGTATTATACAAAACGCTTTGTTTTTTAAATTTATATTTTATATTATAAGTCTTTTATTTAAAATAAATTATTTATGCGATGAATTTGTTTACTTAAAGAGTATATGTATGTAGCTTATTAGCCGCAATCAGTAGTTTATCGTTGCCAAATTCTGTGGTCTACACCAGTGTCTACGTCCGTCGAGTCAGTACTATACGCTTTCTTTTATATTTTTATATTAATAAAATATGAAATTTGTATTTGATCTTTGGTAAAGTATATCTGTATACAGTAAAATAACAATTCTCTTTTAATGAAAGCCCATAATTATTCTTCTGTAATAGCATGTATTAATTAATTTATAATAAAAAACTGAAAAAGATATCGAATCAAGTGGGAATGTTAAATTAATATGTTTGTAATTTGATTTATAAGTAGCTTTGACATTTAATAGATTAGATAATGAGTATGATCTAATTCAACATTGTTACTATAACTATTACTTCATAGAAAATGAAAATTAAATAATCTATATGTGTTAATTTTAATATTACTACTAATTTCTAATTTGCGCGGAAAACATTCAGAAATTGTTAAGTAAGAAAAGTTTACTCTTGAAATTAGGATAAATTTAAAATTTTTTTTATGAACGCGAAAAATTTTTAGATATCAATTTTTCAACATATTATTTACAAAATTTAATAACCACTAAATTATAAATAGAACAAATATTTTTATTATATTTATGATTCTAACTACTTTAAGAACACAATCTGTCTATTGTCGACATCTGTCGGGTAACTCATTTATTCATATCAATACCGCCCGATAGATCGGATAAGTAACCAGTATATAGAAATTAGCTGTTTTTAATCAAAATTGTTACTGTTAATATGTTCATTTTAACTCAGATACTGTTTAAGTACAAACATATGCAAGGATAAATATGATAATGATATAAATTACATGATTTACATCACGGTATGTGTTAATACTAGTCTCTGATATTATATGTACATATATCAACCGAATGAAATTATATATAGCAGAAACGTAATACAATGCAAATAAAGCAGTAAACTACATAACATCATGAGTACGGAATTTTGCTTTTTCGTGGTAACAGTGTAACATTTATGTAACGAGTACATAAAGATTACAAACATAAAACATGATCAGAACACAAAGATGCAATATTTGTACTATTTTTGATGTTAATTTTAAATTCATTAAATTGTATAACTGTGCAAAATGTTGCAACAATAATATTTATGAATTAAATTACAAGACAGTGATAGCTATGTTTTTTCATTTAATTTCAATTATCAATTGTTATGAACAAAGATGTAAATTAGAAACTAATTACGTCACATATTATTGAATAAATATTAGTGAACCCTAACTTATTTAAAAACAGGGTATAATTTTGAAGTTACATTGAAATATCGTTTGATTATGTTACCATTTAGAATAGTGGAATTAATACTTATTTAAATACAATTTTAATAGCTCTTCAAGTATGTCATTAGTTACTTGCAATTAAATTTAAGATTTAAATACTTAGAAAATTTTATTTTTAAATCAAATTAATTTTTAGAAATTCTCTTATCCATTAATTGAGCAAACTTCCGAGAATTGATCGCGACCGATTTGCTGACATTTTGTAAATAGTTTCATTTTGCATATAAATAATGTTTGTGAGAAGAATTTTTGACAACTCGAATAAAAAATACTTCCATTTTAATAGCACTTCCCATTTTACCGACATAATACAATAGGATAGCATCATAGATTCGAAACAGAATAGAACTTTTATTTAATGTATTTTCCTGATTTCGGTTTTTTGGATGCTAAAGCCTCAATAGAAATGTTATAGTTTGATAGTTTTTACAATTTTATAGTTCTATTTAATTGTATTAATATTGTGCTAATATTGTACTAACCAAAGAATTATTGAGGTCATCCTGATTTTTTGCAGTAGCAGAGTAGGACAACGATTTTATTGACAGAAGGCTCGATTTTCTTCAGTTTTTATTAAAATCGAGATAATTTCCACAGTATTTGTGATACATCATTACTACAATCTAATAAAACCCAGTAAAATAGTACAATGAAGAAATCTTATTTTTTATAGTACAATCTTTTTGATTTTCACACTTTACTTAAATATGAAACACCTTAGACAATTTTTCTCAATGAAATAATGTTTGAAACAAACAGTACAAGATACTCAGAAGAAAATGACTTTTTCAAGAAAAGGGTGCTATTTTAAAAATCCATATACTCAATCTTTTTCGGGAACGGTCCCAAATATTAAAGAATTTTCAACGATACAATATGGTATACGCAAAGAGTAGGGATCCTACTCTGTGGTATATGGTTAGTACAAACTGGTATAAAAAGAATTTTTCAATTTCCCTAAAAAAGGAAGACTAACTTCATACGGCAAAAGCTTCCGAAAACCGTCATGTACTGATATCGGCCAAGTTTTGTAAACAAGCTCTTTTTTGCAAAAGAAGATATTTACAATAATGGTTTTTGGCGACTTGAAAGAAAATTTTGTGCCATTTTTATGTCATTCCCTGCATTGCCAAGAAAGCACAGTGTAATCACAAAATAGGGATACCTATTCTTTGATATAATGAGCGAAGTGTTTCAAATACATGATTCGCACCTTCAGACCCAAAGAGTAGGAATGGAACCTTGTTTATTCTGTGTTCGGACCCATGGTATACACATTGCAAACTCATGTACATGTAGATAGTACAATACATTCACATTATACGATATTACTTTCTTCACTAAAAACTGTCATAAACCTGTTCCGATACTATTTCCATGTAGACAATTCATCTATGAACCGTCGGCAAAGCAGGGAATTATATGAAAACAGTATATCTTTTTTCGAGTTGCCAGAAATCGTTTTCACAAATGTTATCTTCTGCAAAAGCGAGCTTATTTGTAAAAATTTACATAGTGTAGAACATGATGGAGAACTTTTGACGTTCCGAATGCGTGTTTTTCTCCTAACCAAAAACACAATAAATAGACAAAGAAGTCGACGAACTTCTGCAAATTACCGCATGAGAGCACACTAGTAGTTTTTCGGTGCACCAAAACAAGCTTTTTAAATAATAATTGATCAAATATACGTTAATCATTAAGCAAACGAAAGCAATTTCGATTAATAAAATATATTCATACGAAACACATACCGGAAAAAGTTATATGATTCTAATTGAAAGCTTTTATCTAATATAAGTTGTTACATTATTAATATACCATTATATTCTATAAATATATCAATAGAATTCAGTATAACATTATTTTAATCTTATATACTTATCACATCACCTGTTGTAACAATTCCTTCATTTTTTTTCACCCTGTATAAGATCCTGTAGGTAAAAACTTGGAGTAGAAGGGTAACATTAGTACCGAGAAGTGTAGTACCAATTACAGAACCATTTTCTCTAGTAGATCCCTAGAAATATTCTGAAATGTTTTTTCCGATTAGCCACGTGATGTATTTTAAACTTTGTGTATGTTTATAATAGCTTAAATTTTATTTGAAGTTTATATTCCGTAAAATGAAAAAACACTGTGAAAAAGAATGTCTAATTATCTGGCAATTCATATAAATTACATGAATTCTTTACTACATAGTGTTTCATAGTGTTTAAAAATAGTATGAAGCAACAATAATATTTACAATAATGAATTACTAAAAATTATTTTCATCAATATGCTTTACAGTTACATGATTATTTATAAAATATTTAAATAATGAATTTTAATTGTACATATATAATCGTTTGATTTGTAAATATGAAGATGAAATTGTTTAATTACAAAAAATCATGATGAATTATAACAAAGTATGTAGATATAATATTGTATAATCATGAATGAATTTTATATGGATATTATTGAAAAACATATATATTATGATTGCAATGATTTAAATGATAACTTGTAATCTTAAGTCAAAAATAATAAAATGGAATCTATTAGTAAAATACCATCCTTCGGGGATAACACTTTATCTGCCTGTATTCAGGCTGAAATGAAAAATACAAATAGTATTGATGATGATAGTGATATGCAGGCACATATCAAAAATAGTATTTTTAGTTCTAAGGTAGCTAATAATGCAATGGGTATTAAATCCACCTGGAATCAGAATACTTCAAAATGTAAAGAATTAAAAACAAAAAATGCAACAAGATTAAAAGTTAATAGCAAAACTACTGCATCCACAAGATCAAGAATTAAAACAGTTACTTCTTTGAAAAGTAATTGTAGTTCATCAAAGGATGGTAAAGAAAACACAAACATTAATTGTTCAAAAAGTGATATTTCTTTAAATTCAAATACATTATTAAAACAATGTAATAAATCTGAATTGTCGATTTTGCATGTTACTAGCAATAGTATTAAAATTAGTGCTTTATCTAAAACAATAAATAATACAACCAATGTAAAATTATCTAATAGTGGCACTATAACAAATAACGAAGAGAAATCTTCAATAGTAATTCCTTCTACTTCTGCTATTAATACTCAAGATAGGTACAAGTTAGCTTCTTGGGGTTTACCACCAAATATACTTCGGGTAATGTATTAAGTTATTTTTTTGAGATAAACCTGTTTTATAAACAAGTAAAATAAACAAAATTCAACATGTATGCCATATATTCAAATAGTATTTTAATGCGGTATTCAAATAAAAAAAACCATAAAATTGGCCTTTACAGTCACTTAATGTTAATTTGGTCAAAAACATTTTAATTATTATAAAAAAAGAATTTCCAAAAAGTGCATATTTAACTGATGCAGGTCTTCTACCAGCTCCAGAAAATATGGATGTCACTATTTTTTATTCGTGTGAAAGAATTATTTAAAGTATGCACAGATATTGTTAATTCATACTTTTCAACTATGAAGGCTGGATGATTACAGTAGCAAGAAGTGCATTTGATGTACTTTAATAGGATAGATATTTATTTTCAATTATCATAAATTTGTTTGTAGTTCTAGTGTATATATCCCTGTGGAACAGATTGCATGATATTTTTTGGTCCTTTACCATAAATTATATTTATTAAAAGTAATATTGGCGTTTTACAGAAATATGAATCACGAGGAATAACAACTATGTTTCCTTGGCAAGTGGAATGTTTATCAAATCATAAAGTCATTGAAGAGCAATGCAATCTTGTGTATTCTGCCCCAACATCAGCTGGAAAAACCTTAGTAGCAGAAATTCTGATGATAAAAACAATATTAGAAAGACACAAAAAAGCAATTTTTATCTTGCCATTTGTTTCTGTTGTTAGAGAAAAAATGTATTATTTTCAAGTAAGATTTATCTGGATAAATTAGCCTTATAACAATTATATATGTATATTTTAATTTTATAGTTCTAATTTAATAGGATTTACTGTCTGACAGTGGAATTTGTGTACAAGGATTTATGGGTGGTATTGCTCCACGTGGAGGATTTGCTGCTACTCATGTTGCAATAGCAACAATTGAAAAAGCAAACTCCTTAATAAATCGTCTAATGGAAGAAAATGAACTAGTCAATTTAGGAGCTGTAGTGATAGATGAATTGCATCTTGTTGGTGATCCAAATCGTGGTTACCTACTTGAATTACTATTAACTAAATTGAAATATATGACAATTAGGTAATTAAAATATATTTATTATTAGTTTAAGAGAACAAAAATTTTTATTTTGCCCTTTTACAGGAATGAAAATATTAATGTACAATTGATTGGTATGTCTGCTACACTTCCAAATCTATCTCTTTTAGCTGATTGGTTAAATGCTGAACTGTACAAAACGGAATTCAGACCTGTACCTCTAAATGAACAATGCAAAGTATTATATTACACTAAAAATTGTTAACATTTACTCATATTAAATTTTCATAACAGAAGTTATTATTGCTTTAGATGGGGAAAAATATTTATGACAATGAATTACATTTAATCAGAACTCTGATACCAATACCAGAATTAACTGCGGATTCCGGAGATATTCTTCATTTATGTATTGAAACAATATCTGATGGACATAGTATATTGATTTTTTGTCCAACAAAAAATTGGTGTGAAAAACTAGCTGAACATATAGCTTCTATGTTTTATAAATTAGGTCTATTTAATAATTTTATCTTTATGTTTCTAATGCAATTCATTATTATAAAAATATATAAGTAAATATTGTATTTTTAGGCAAAGAAGATACAAAACTCGCAGAAATTTTACGGCATCAATTGGATTCTACATTAATCTCTGAAACGTTGGAACAATTAAGACGAAGTCCAATAGGTTTAGATAACATATTAAAAAATACAGTTTCATTTGGAACAGCTTTTCATCATGCTGGTCTTACAATGGATGAACGTGATATTATAGAAGGAGCTTTTAGGTATATAGTGGAATTTTTATGAATATTCAGAAAAATGCAATTTGACATTATATAATTTTAGATCAGGATCTTTAAGAGTTCTTGTTGCAACATCAACTTTAAGTAGCGGAGTAAATTTACCAGCAAGACGAGTAATTATCAGATCACCAATATTTAATGGGAAAGTATTAGATAGCCTTACCTATAGGCAAATGATAGGACGTGCAGGTAGAATGGGAAAAGATACAGCAGGTAAAATAAAATTGTAGATTATAAAATTAAATGATTACTATGTGTTTTAATGTAATGTAACTTCTGTATTCATAGGAGAAAGTATATTAATTTGTGAATCACATGAACAGAAAGCAGCCAAAGCATTATTATCAGCTGCTTTAAAACCAATTGAGTCCTGTCTTGAAAATTCAGGCCCCTTAATTAGAGCTCTTTTGGAAGCTATAGCTAGTGAAGTTGTATACACGCCATCGGATCTTGAATTATACACTAAATGTACTTTAATAAGTATGGATAGTGAACATGACTCAAAAGATCCTTCAAATGAAGCTATCAAATTTTTAATAGATAATGAATTTTTATTGTACGTTAATTTTTGGTAAACATATAATGTAAGCTATACTAATTTCGGCACCAAATAACTGGTTTATTTTATTCTATTATCTTTGCTAATCAATTTTCACACTTTTTTAATATTCCCTAAATAAATTTGAATGTTTGATAAAGAACTTTAACGTAAAGTGTCAGTCATTATGTAATTTATCCTTCTAAGAAACTTTTATAGTAATTTCTGTCTATATTTTATGTAATATAATATTGTTTAGACTACAAAACACAGAAGACGGACATAGATGGGTAGCTACAGCTTTTGGAAAAGCATGTTTAGCAGCTTCGATACCACCTAGAGAGGGTTTGTTCTTACTTGAAGAACTTCAGAAAGCAAGACGATGTTTTGTTTTGGATACTGAATTACATGTAGTGTATTTAGTAACACCTGTTAACTCTGGAAGTCAAATTGGAGCAATCGACTGGATGACTTTTCTAGAATTGTGGAAAATGTTATCAGAAAGTGAACGCAGAGTTGGACAACTTGTTGGTGTAGAAGAGAGATTCTTAACATCAGCTATTAAGGGGATAGTGCGACCAGGAAAATCAGTGAATTATTTAATATATATTAATAAACAATCTTAATTTACAATTGTATATATCAAATAATTTTGATATTTTAATTTTAGCTTAATATACATAGAAGATTTTATACTGCATTAGCTTTACATGATTTGGTACGAGAAATGCCTCTTGGTACAGTTTGTAAAAAATACGGTTGTTGCCGTGGAGTTCTTCAAAGTTTACAACAGTCTGCTTCTACATTTGCCGGTAATATTTTGCTCTACAAAAAAAAGACTTCATGTACTAATGTCAGTATACTTTACATGTATTTCTAGGAATGGTCACGCAATTCTGTAAACAGTTAGGCTGGGACTGCATGGAGTTATTAGTATCGCAATTCCAGGCTCGTTTACAATTTGGTGTCTGTAGAGAATTATTAGACTTATTACGCCTTCCAATGTTAAATGGATTACGTGCTAGAAGTCTTTATAAACAAGGAATTACCTGTGTCGCAGATTTAGCTGTTGCTAATGAACTTGATGTTGAACGTGCACTTTATAAAGCACTTCCTTTTGAAAGGTTTTTTATGCACATGTTTTAGTAGTATTCAAAGCTAATGATAATTTAAATAGAGTACATATTTCAAATCATATTTTAGTGGAAAAGAACACGATGGTGAAGATGAATCAGAAGCTATAAAACGAAATAAAATGAGAACAGTATTTGTTACTGGAAGAGATGGCTTAACGCCTCATGAAGCAGCAGTTATGCTAGTGCAAGAAGCTAGAGCACTAGTTAGGGTACGTTATTGTTAAAATTAATTTCATTTTTGAATCGCATTCAAATTAAATAACTCCTTTATTTACAGAACGAACTGAAATTGCAAGATATGTCATGGAAGCAGAATGAAGAATCTATTTTTACTAATGAATCTCGTTCAAAAACAAATATGCAACAGAATAATTTTCAGACTACAACAAATGCAAGCATACGTGCAAAAACTGAAACTTCTGCACATAATAATTCTGAAATAAAAATTCATTCGAGTGAAAAACTACTTGCAAAGGAAGAAAAACAAAATTTATGTTCATTCACTAGTAAGAGTCTTGAATGTATTAACGAAGAAGATACTTTGCACGAATCGTGTAGAATTAAACGATCCGATACAGATATAGATGTCGTTAATGAAATTGAAAATGTTAAAGATTCTAAATGTAACGTAGAAAATGTAATGCAAGAAAGTAATAATATCAAACTTACCGATCAATTATTGCAAATAGATATTCCAGAACTGTTTAATTCTTCAAATGGAAAACTTTCTTTTGATTTTTTTGAATCTAGTAGCCCTAAACTACTACATGAAATTAAACAAAGACAAAGTGATGAATCACTAATTAGCTTCAAGGGTATTAAAAAAAATTGTACTCAAAATATTACCCTTAAAAATTCGCTAGACAACGGACAAAAAACTCAAAATAAAAGTGAGGTACCTAGTAAAAAAATTAGAACTTCGGATAAAACAGATTCCACAACACCAGTTTGTGTAAATGCAATGACTCGTATGTCAAGTTTAGAGAATAATACAAAATCAGCAATTTCAAGAAGTCCCAGTTTATTTGATGATAGTTTGAATCTTGATTCACAAATGTATAATGTTCTTGAACAAAACATTGTTGATTCTTTACATTTTTCAGAATTTGAGGAAACTAAATCACCTGCTCACAAATTAGAAACAGAAAGTAAAATATTGACAAATTTACAGATTACTAAAACATCTAATAGCAACATTCAAATAAATAATCATGAAACTAATAATTCAGTAAACTTTACAAGTTCGAAGCATAATATATTTTTTTGGAAGGACGATTCGTGGAACGAATCGAAAAAAGTCGCGGAAAGGATAAATCAAGTTCATGTCCAAGATGAAAAAGAGCTATCATTTAAACACAATATTAGAAATATAAAAAATATAAATTTGAAAAATATAGAAACTACTGGAGTGAATAATTTTACACCTGAAATGAAGAAAAAATATGACACGAAATTAGAAAATTCTGTGAATATTTCTAATGATTTAAAGAAGATATCTCAGAAGCGTAGATTTAAAGATATTGCAGTTGCAAAATCACCTGTGGCAAATGTAGTTTTTAGTAAAAATCGTGGCGGATCATTAGATTCAAATAAGTCAGATTCAGATGATATTATTGTTGCTTCACAAAATATGAATTCACCTGCTGCAAGTATAAAAATAAGAAGTAAATTAGATTCTGAACGAAAGCTAAAGTTATGTGCTCAAAAAGCTGTTAATTATACACCCGTTAATGTCAAAAAGTCATATACAGCAGGTGTTCCAAAATCAATACAAATTGAAAAATGCAATATTACCAAAAAATTAAGTGAAATATTTACAAGAAAGGTATTAACTAGTAAAGATTGCAGCACAGATAGTGTAATCTCAAATTCAGATGAAGATACTCCTAAAAAATCAATGAAAACATTGCAGAAATCTCAGATAAACGTAAAAAAGACTCCCAAGAATTCGGAAATATGCTTGCAAGCTAAAGAACTTGGAGGTGGCATCAGTAAAATGAGCAACTGGAATACGTTAAATATTATAAAAGTTGGGAGTGATAGAAGCACATTTAATTTATTTAAACGTGAAGTTATGCAAAAACGATATATTTCTTTAGCATTGAGTTGTGAAATGTATATTGACAATGGTAATAACATAGGTTCTAAAATTATCGATTCCGTAAATCCTCAAAGGAAAAAGAGAACTAAAAGAATAGAAAATTATGCTCATGGAAATAAAAAGTTGAATGGTGTTGCTATTGCTTGGGAAAGCAATATTGCATACTATATTTCTTTTTTTAATGAACAAGGTATTCAAAATTAAATTAACGTTATTTTTAATTTTTAACATTCTTGTAAAATAATGTTTTTCAGATTTAAAAATTCCAGGAAAGGAACAAATGAAATTACTCAAAGACATAGTTTCTAATACATCGTTATATGTAAAGTGTTTCGCAACTAAGGAAATATTTAAAACTTTGTACGAATGTTGCAGTATTTCTGCGTCCTGCAGATTTTTAGATCCAAAAGTAGCAAATTGGTTATGTGATAGCACTATTCATGAAAAGACTTTTAATGAAATGGTAAAACGAATATCATTTTTTAATTTTAACTATATTCAAGTATTTATTGAGGATAAAATTATATTTGATGTAATACATTTTATAGCAACTATGATATATAATAAATACACATAATATATGAACAGGTAGAGGAATATTTTCCACAAGGACGTTCTATAACAAAGCAAATATCTGCATGTTATGATATAGGACCTGGACTAAATATCAAGAGTTCAATTCCAGGAGAATTTAGAGCATCTGCTGAAGCTATACTTACATGGCATATAACAGATAAACTTTTAAATAAATTAGGAGAAATTCATTCATCATTGCCAAATACATTTAAAGGTACTGGTATTGTATAATTTCTTTTAGTGGTATTTGTGTTTGTTTGCTTCTACATGTAATGGATTCCGATTAATTGTGCCTTTCGGTTATATATTTAGTCCAAATACAAAAGAACAGAAATAAAATGTTTTGCTTTCGATTTGATTAAATGGAACATACTGCTGTTTTATTGGGATAGTTCACACTCGTACAGTTTACGGTTGAAAATACAGTAAAGCTTATTATGAAGTAGGGATAGTGATTGGAAGTATAAACAAAGCTCGAACGTAGGCAAAAATAACATGAATAAATGAAAAAAACTGTAAATATCAAATTCATATTAAAGTGGGATCATGTTACATATTTTTCTTAATAAATAGTTCTTGGCTTTATTTTTTATTTTATTCAGATTTTGTATGTTGAAATACGCTTTGTTAGGTCCTAGGGTTTTCCAATTAACCGGAATCCACTATATTAATTTATTTTAACAAATCTTAAATATATTTGCAGATATTGAAATGAGAATAATAATCTCACTAGCTTGTATGGAATTAAATGGCTTAGGTGTATCTTTAAAATCATTACAAGATTTGTCTTCTATTGTACGTAAAGAAATGACATCGTTAGAAGAACGAGCGTATGCACTGTGTGGGAAGAAATTCAATTTCTCTTCGTCTAAGGAAATTGGGAAGGTTTATATATAAATCTAAAGTATATTTTATTTATATTTTGTCCAAATTTACAAATAATATTATTAATTTTTTAGATTTTAGGACTATATAATGGGAAAAAAATTAGTGTAAATAAAGCTGTATTAGGACATTCTGACCATCCTGTATCAACTCTTATTATGTCATGGCGCAAATTGAATGCAACTCAAACTAAGGTGGGTTTAACATCGAGTGCAAGCACACAAAAATCATGATAAAAATATTTGCTAAATATGCAAATTATGATACTGTCCAGCTCTTTTATGCTGGATCATATGCTATAACTTCAAACTGATACAAGTAAATCATGAATTGTAAATGTACAAATTAGTTAATGATCAAAAAACAATTCGTGTAGTAGTAAAAACTGCGTGGCTGTTTGTATAAAAGCATTCAATTATATCAGTTACATATGTCTAAATAATGTAGTATAATCAGATAAAAATTCAATTTATTTTATTTATAGATTATATATCCACTACTAAACCTAGCTCAACACGGCTGTCGTATTCATGGTAACTGTGTTACCAATACACTAACTGGTAGAATATCTATGCACGAGCCAAATTTGCAAAACATACCAAAGGATTTTACTTCTGAAGATGGTAGTTTTACAATAAGTGTTCGAATGGCGTTTGTTCCCGCTGTAGGAAATGTTATATTATCAGCAGACTATTGTCAACTTGAATTAAGAATATTAACTCATTTTTCAAAAGATGAAACATTATGTGATATTATGACTAAATCCGGTGACATTTTTAAAAATATAGCAGCCAATTGGAATCATGTCTCTGAAGATCAGGTATGTCGACGATACTATTCGATATAAATGATAACTATTCCAATGTATTTCTATTAATAGGTCGATGATACGATGCGTCAACATACCAAACAATTATGTTATGGAATGATTTATGGTATGGGAGTAAAAGCACTTGCTGAAAGTTTATCTGTAGATGAACTAAAAGCCAAAGAATTTTTAGAATCATTTATGAATGCATATTCAGGTATATCTAAGTGGTTGGATAATGTCGTAGAAGAAGCTCGAATAAATGGATACATAACAACCATTTTTGAAAGACGTAGAATGCTGCCAGCATTAACGAGTACAAATACAGCAGAAAAATGTAAACTTTTTTTTAGTACTAACAATGCTGTAACATGGCGTGTTAAATTAAAATACATATAAATAAACTCTTGTCATTTTTTTGCAGCCCAAGCAGAACGTCAAGCAGTAAATACTAAAGTTCAGGGGTCTGCAGCTGATATTACAAAAAAAGCAATGGTAAATATCGAGGAAAGAATAAAATGTGAATTTCCAACTTCAGTAGCTATTATGCCTACTGTTAGTCCTATTCGCAAGTTAAGAAGTAATAGCAGAGAAGCACAACAAAGAGGTGGTTTTTTAATATTACAACTTCATGATGAATTATTATATGAAGTAAGTATTTTATTTTGTTCATTTAAAATTTCTTATGGTCCACAATATGATATGAATTTTTCATTTGAACAAAGTTTCCAATTTCCAAAAAAATTGCACAAACATCTGTAATTTGTTCTTTGCTTTAGGTAAATATAAATGATTTAAGGCAGGTAGCAACAATTGTAAAGGAAGAAATGGAACAAGCATGCCAACTTATAGTACCATTGCCGGTAAAACTTAAAGTTGGATCTGCATGGGGAGATCTTTGTGAATATAATCTTTAACGTTAATCTATTTACTTTTCCTATTGATAATAGCAATATTTATACATATATAGTTTTAAACAGAAATCATATTAATCATGTTCAATTTTTATTACACAAAATATTTATTAAATTTTAATATTATGCATTGTAGCATATATTTATAATGATACAAATTGTACATATTTATACTATTTTTTAGTTTACAACTTTAAATAATCAATTTTATAATAAAATTATATAAATAATTTGTATTTGTTGATCATAAAAAAATATTTAAATAACAAAATAGTTTGTATGTTTTTACTTATCAATGTCACGAGTTTTATTATATTAATCTACATGTGATTATATTGTGTAATACTATTAAATTATAAATTAAATAAAATAGTTTTTGTTATTTAAGTTTATATCAATAAATCTAATAATAATTTTGCAAATGTTTTTTGCACATAACCATAATAATAATGTTATATTGTATCACAAGGTGGTGCCAGTGATTGATGTAGTTTTGTTACTGCTGTTTGCACTATTTGTTGAAAAGTTTCATCTTCTTTACTGGTTACTTCCAAATTTAATAAATCTATATGTGCTTTCTTTCCATCAACTGTTACATAAAGTTTTTCTCCTTTAAAAATTTTAGGAACAGAATCTTCACCAAACATTTCTTGTAACATTTCTATCAGACATTCCTTAAAGTGCATCCGATCCATTTTTGTAGGTGCAGGTAATATTTTAGGTGGTTGTTCCATCATTTCAGCTTGTAATATCGCGGTCAAAACAGAATCTGCATACATATCGTTAACAGGTGTTGCAATCCATTCCATAGTAACAATTTTTCCATCAATCGTAACATCAATATTTTTAAACACACGTAACTTTTTGTCATCAATAACTTCTAAATTCCCCGCAATTTGTGTGAGAAGATGTTTTAATACTGGTAATGATGCTGAAAAGTATACACTCTGTCTTTGAATTACTTGACTCATACTCATATCTGTATATTTTGATAAGTCGCAAGGTGCTAACATATGATAATTAAAGTTCCTCTTAACTAAAACTCCTGATAGTGTTTGCCCAGGTTTAGGTGTTTCCATTGCTAATGTACCCATCACTTTAGCAGTTTTTTCTCCTCTAAAATACAACTCTACAGCAACCGTATTCCTAGGATTATGTATTTCCATTGTTGTGTTAGGGTCATCTTCATATTCGCGCTGCAAAGCTGCTTTTAATCTTCCCATTTCATTTTGTTCTCCATGTACGAGTACAACATGTGGTGGCTTTAAAATACGTATAAATTCGGAAGTCTGTTGATAATCAGTATGTGCTGAGAATGATATATAGTCAACAGACATTTTTAATGGTAATTTTTGTCCAGACATAGTTGTAATTTCTTCAGGTTCTGATAAAATTGTTTTTGCCAATGTTCCTTCTACGCAGTAACCAGCTATTATAACTCCATTCTTTGCATCTGTACACCATGATTCAAATAATTCTCTTGACAATCCACTTTGCATCATACCAGGAGATGCCATTACTACGCATGGTCCAATATCTTCAAAATGATCAATTCCTTTTAAATTAGAAATATGTTTAAATACAAACGGATTGTTGATGGCAATTTGTCTTCTGATTTTATCATTCATTGCATTTACATAAGTTTGATAAACTGCCATGCATTTTTTTGCTAGGGAAGAAGCATAATATATAGGAATTTCATGTAGTTCTGGATGTTGACTCCAATATTCATCTAAAATAAGGAGAAGCTCTTGTGCTCTACCTAATGCAAATACAGGTATTAAACATCTTCCACCTCTATTAACAATTTCATGAACTAGATTTGTAAATCTTCCTTCACGATCTTCTCTTTTCTCATGTATATGTGTACCATAAGTAGACTCGGTAATCAAAACATCTGGATGAATGTTTGGAATTTCAGCAGCCATCAAATGTCTATCCTCTTGCCTACTAAAATCTCCAGTATATAAAATTTTAACACCTGCTATTTCTATCATAAACATAGCAGCACCTAATACATGACCAGCATTGTAAGCCCAAAATTTGATTCCAAATACATCTTTTTCCTCGTGAAAATTAATTGTTTCAATTTTATCCATACTAGTTTCTAGATCCGATTCAGTATATAACATTTGTTCTGTAGCAATGTTGCTTACTTTAATATAATCGGACAATAACCAGCGATAAATAGCTTTAGTGGCATGTGTCATAAAACATCTTCCCTTAAAACTGGTTTTCTGCAGGAACCAAGGCAAAGCTCCACAATGATCCAAATGAAAATGAGAAATTAAAAGTAAATCAATCTCGTCTGCTTCTACCAAATCTACAAATGGTAATGCATCCATTCCAGATAAGCCAGGGTGAATACCACAATCCAACATAATTTTTTTGCCTTTGAATTCTAACATAATACATGATCTTCCTACTTCTTGACCTGCACCAAGAGGCCTAATTGATAATAAATCACTTTCCTCAGCAGGTACTTGGGCATCCGGTTTTCGTTTTGTAGACATTTTTTTATTAACTAGTAATTATCATGCAATAATATAAGAAATTAATGTTGTTCTTTTATTTCATATTTTTCACTAAAAATATGTTACTTATATTATTCACAGAGAAAACGAATTTTCACAAACTATAAACATGTCCAAATTTATGTATTTACATCGGAGGTTAGAAAATAACTTTCTTGATTTTTAATAATTATACTGTGTAGAACATTTAAAATTGAAATTAAATTATATTAATGTTATCTTTTGTTATCTGTATCTCGTAAATAAAATGTCACGTTAATATTTAAATTAATAATGAATTATTAGACTTCTTTTGAATATAACCTATTAATGCGGTTATGATTTACAAACTACATAATGTATGGTTTACAATATGCTACATTGATAAGCAACGTGCTTACGAGTTCTCATTCGCCTGTACATTAATTCTGATTGGTCCGAACATATTTCATAATTATGAACGTACAATAACGCATTTGGTCGAAAAGTCTGAAAGTTTTGATAGAACTGAACAATTTTCAAATTAAAATAAATACTTATTTTGGGTAGCTATCTTCAATTAGAAGAAACTGCTTACATATCATTCTTGTAAAAGAATAAAATAGGAAACTTTTCTTTTGTACATTAAAATGACATATATTTTTAAACTAACAGTTATTTTAAATTTTTATAAAAATGTTGCTATAAATTCACCACCAATTACTTTAGCTTCAAATATTGTTGAAATTATCGATAATGAAATTAAAAAAAATTTTTTTTAAATGTAGTAAAAGTAAGTACAGATGTGCATAATACACATAATGCATGTGCATTAAGAATATTTTATTTAAAAAAACATTTTTTACATTGATCTTATGTTATCATTTGAACTTTGATTTAACATAATTGCAAATAAAATTTGTAGATAAATTATTATAAGTCGGTTTCATCGTAGATTGCTTGTAATAGCATATAATTATTTGGCGGGGAATGTTCGGAAACATCTGCAATATGTTAGTAATCATTTGAGCTAGGCCGTTCATAACTGGAAAGTAATTGTATAGAATGATGAAGGCAAATTCAACTTGTTTTCAGGTGACAGTGAAGGTCACGTTCACCAGTTAAAAAATATGCGCTATCACCAACAATGCATACAAAGGACCGTTAATAGATTGAGATTCAGACGATTTTTCGTGAATTATTGTGAGTGTCTAATAATTTTTGCCTGCGTTTAAAATCGCATAATCTGAAGGTAGATTTATGCCATTAAGAACTATAATTTGTATTACATAGAATAAATATACGGCATTTGGTGATATTAATAATATGGGCTGAAGTTTTTCCGCGTGATCTAAAATTTTTACGCCATTTTAAGTAAAATCCAGTAACCTAAAATTTTTGTTTAGTTATCGTAATCGCCCGATATTAACTACATGGAACTTATAGTTGATTATAGGTATGACTTGATAGACATTGTAAATTGATTATTACTGGATGTCTGTTTTGAAATAAAATTTCAAATTTATCAAAGCCCGGATTTTCAAATTTCGGAATTATTAAATCTCCAAAACCCCAAATTTTCAAATTCTCAAATTCCCAGATTTCAAAATTCCAAATTTACGAATGCACAAATTTAGAAAATTTTAAATCTTTGAATCTTCAAATTTTTAAATTCCTAGAAACTCAAATTTTCAAATTTGTATGCGTAATTAATACGCGTTAATCATTTCTAACGCGTGACAGCTAACAAACATAGTTTAGTCAATATCTTTTTGCTATTTTTATTGAAAATTAATATATAACTCGGTTAAAGTACATTTTACCTACCTATTTATAGAATGTAATGGAGAAATAATTGTAATACTTAATGTATTTATATTTTCTTAGAAAATATATGTAGAAAGAAGCAAGGGCATGGAATAAAATTTATTATCAATTTTAATATTCATATAAAGTTATTTACAACTGTTGTTTGCTATAATGATATTATTTAATTTTTCAAATGATAGATTCAGCATTCCCATACGTTTTTTTAAATTTATATATAACAATTATGTAAAAGAAGGAACATAGATTTTATATCTGTAGTACCTACCTTAACTATTGTCGAATCTACGTTCTCATTTCATTAAGATAATAGTTCTGCATATAGTCAAATAATTATCCTTTTACGCCAATCAAATTTTTAATAACTATATAATTCAAGACACAAGATGTAATCCTTTAATTGCAAAAATAATGTACATATTTCCACTTTTAATTTTATTATCAAAAAGAACGTGCACAATTTGAATTTCCTTGAAGGTACTATTGATGTTATTAGAAGATGGCGTCTGTTACGGAATTTTTAATTTTAGCGAACCGAAATAAATTATTTTAAAATATGTATTTGAATTAAAAAAAAGCAAAATGAAATTATGTACTATTTCTTTAAAATTCTTGTATAAAATACTATTTGCGAGAAAACGAATGGTATATTCGAATAGACTTCTAAGCGTTTTTGCTTGAAATACAACTCCACGCTAATAAATTCACGTTTTCACGAAGCGTATATGTTTTGAACGTTAAGGATCATCAAATATTCGAAAATTTGAATTATTTTTTGTTCGCAAGATGAACAATTTTATGGATTGTTCAAACGCTTCGCTTGAATTAAAATGTAACTCTCTGTATTCTTGACAGATGGCGTCTGCATAGCTACCTCATTTATAATACACCCGCCAAATTAAATACTCCTTAATCATTTTTATTTTATTAATTATAGTAGTAACTTTAAAAATAAATTTATATTTTTGTTTCAAATTTTATATTTCATGCACTTATTATCCTTAATTTATAAACTTACTTAAAATTGTGATTAAAATTGATCACACAATATGGAGAAACTAATTGTATTTCAAAGCGTATACATACTAAGAAGTATCAAAAAAACTAAACGCGTAGAGTATATTAAAAATTTTCAAGGATCATGCATCGATAATAAACTAACGTTCATTAGTGCATTTTTCATTACTTCCTGTCCTGAAAAATGAATTTGAACAAGAATTTTGACGGAAAATTGAGTATTATTTATGGGAAAGGTTACAAAAGTTGATTGTATAAATGTAATTTTCCTTTATATTATATTTTTATTAAACTAAGCCAGAGAATAGTAATAAAAATGCAAATAGATAATGTGCTGTATCAATATAACATTGTAAATGTGATTGATTTATTCGGAAAGAGTGGCTGATTGGGAAAGAGGATTAAGATACTTTGACCACATCATATCGGGTGAAACGATTTCAGTCTTAAGAGGACAGTATTATATTTTTGTTTCTGTTAACTGCCAATTCAGCAAGGTCGAGCATAGATTATGTTAGTAGCATATCAGATTTTTGCACGCAACAACGTATGCCTGAAATAATTGTCAAACAATTGTGGTGACTATATTTAAGTGTATTCGTCTTTAGGAACAGAGTTCACGCACGATATGAGTACGTAAAACGCAAATAAATCGTATAAAACATTTATAAAACTAAACTACATTTTTGTAAATTTTACAATTTTATTTTGATTTCTATCATTCATATGACTGATTACATAATTCTCGTTCGTATTCTAGATGATAGAAAGTATAGGTGGTGCTACTAACGTCGAATTGGTATAAAGATATATATATATGTATATGTGTAACGTTTAAAATAGGTGTGTAACTTTAGTATTGCGTGAATTTGTTTAAGTATGGCCATTCTTATTGCAAACAATATCAAGAATAAAACTTTCACCAACAAATTTATTATATTATGATGTACATCAAAACACATTTATTACTTTCTAATAAATATAATATTTAATATTGTTCATTAAACAATAAGTAATCAAATTATTTATTTTTTAATTATAAATTAAAATTTTCCAATATTAAATTGTTAAGAAAAATGTATGAATCTATTTATTCCGCTGTTTAATCGAGTAGATTTTCTTTCCTTTTAAATGATAAGTTTATCGTGTTATTCATTGGAAATTTATGACTTAACGATGGAAGAATTATCGTTATATCAACATATTATGTCTGCGTTTCACATTACACATATATTAAGTAATAACAGAAATATCTTGTATTTACTAGGATTTTACTAAAATTACTACTTATTAAACAATATTCATTCTCATATTTGAAGTATTAGTAATAAATTAACTTTCTTTTTATGTCTAGATAGTCTAATTAAAAATATTAAAGGTGACATTATTTTACTTGCTATTATTTATTATATATTTTATTGTATCAATTATGGTCACTTATTCACTTTACTTTACTACCTATTTAGTATCATGAGCATTATAGATTGTACCATATAAGTTTGTTATTTTTTAAAATCAATATAAAGGTGTTACTCTTTCAACGACAACGAACTATTTATTAAAAATATGCACAAGTCTTTCCAGAAGTTATGAAATTTGCTTTAAATTAGTTGTTAACAAATTGAATACCGGTAATTAAATGTGATACAACATAATGAATAAATATTTAAAATATCATAAGCAAATACTTATTTGCCTATTATACTTTTAATATTGGATCGGGCAAGTGTACCAGTCACTATATACCGTTACATGTTAGTGCTGATGATCGAGCACGCGATATCACGTGATCAGACATGTAGCAATGGCATTCAAGCACTCAATATCGAGTGAACAGTAGTAAACGCATTAACTATTTATTGGCGTACAATTATATTTATTATTGAAAGTATTATCTTAAAAATAATATATTTTCAACCTTTTAATGGAAATTGATAGATTAATATCGAATTACTTATATAATATCATATATATATTCATATACATATATTGTATGTTTAATATCACAATATACTTATATATAAATATCATATCGTGAATCGTTATTTTTGTCTGTAAAATAATTCCATTACTTATAATTGATTCTTTGTTTGCTTTATTAAAGTTTAGAAACTTATAATATTACTTGAAATACCAACTTGAAGAAAACTGGAATGATAGATATGACAAGTAACAGTCTTGTGTTGTTTCTCTTTAAAGTAGCATAGACTTACAATTGCATAGTCAAGCGCTTATAAAGTAGAATCATTTTAAAGTTTTTGACTTAGATATCTATTTCTATTTTGCGATATGATTCGTGAAAAAATTGTCTTAACGGTATTTGTTTTTATATTAGGTTCATATCTGCAATTAGCGAAAACAGTTACAAATGATGACAATCATGAACTTCAAGTGCAGTTGGTGCAAGTGGTAAGTATATTTCATCATTCTATTATGAATTAAAATCATTTAGTTTTTCATCTATTGTTCTAGTATTTTATTTACAGTTAATTAAAAAAATATTACATAATTATTTAAAATCAGTTATCTATACTTTGTACTGAGGTTTCCTCACAGATTAAATTGAAAAAATGCCAAGTCTAAATAAATAAAATATATATTTATATTTAGTATTAAAAAAAAGTTATGAAAATATAATTTTGTTTAAACATGTAAAAACTAAAGAAACTGAAAGATTTATAGGATTACTTTTGGAAAATATAAGACATTGCATACTCACTATGTGACGTTTTAATAAAAGTGGAAGCGGAAGCTGTCTACAACGCCTCCTAGCCTTTAGAATATAAGAAGCGCCAAAATTCAAAAGAATAAAATTATATTTTGTATTACTCAACAGTTTGTCAAAATGCAAATATTAATCATATGTTAATTCATTAATCGATATTTACAAAAGTTTCGTTTTTTTAATACATAATCGATACAATTATTACAAGTATTATAAATCGAATTTTACTTTTATTAGACATAAACTCGTATTATTATATACCTTTTAAAATTCAAAAATCAAAACATTCTAAATAATCATTCCATTCTTTCTCACTTTACGCTTAAAATTTTATCAGCTATTTAGACATGGAGAACGGACCCCGCGCGAAAAAGAATTATGGCCGAATGATCCTCATCATATATCAAAATACGAACCATGGAATCTAGCGCAACTAACAAACGTAAGTAATAACTGAATAATAAGACAAATTGTAGAAGTAAACAATTTATAATTCAATATGATTTACGTTTAGGAAGGGAGAATGACAGAATATCGAATAGGACAGATGTTAAGAGAGCGGTATAATCAATTTTTAGGAGATATTTATCATCCTAGCGATGTGTATGCCTTTAGTACTGACCATGATCGGACAAAAATGTCTCTTCAATTAGTCTTAGCAGGATTATATCATCCGGCACCATCCCAAACCTGGAATGAAAATTTATCATGGATTCCAATACCGACATATTATATGCCGGAGAAATTAGATGATTTAATGAAACCGGATTTCTCTCCAGTGTAAGTATTCCATTAGATAAGTGTTTTTTCGTATTTCTATAATTAAAAATTACAAAAATGAAAAAAGTAACTTAAGGAAAGTCCGGGAAAGAATTGGGATCAAGTGCGGAACAGAGCTGTGACTAGAGTTTACCGGGCTTGAGAGTTTATTTCTTTTCATGTATAGAAATCCAGACTGATTATAAAATCTTTAATTTTTAATAAACTACTATTTAATTTTATTTTAAGAAATGCTTGAAAAGTTACAATAAATATAAAGGTTTTCAAGCGATAGTTTAAATTTAACAATCGAGTTTTAATTTTATATGTATATTCCGATAACGTAAATTTTTATTCTTTTGTTGCTAATTCTGACACACTTAGAAAAATTTTTTATAATTTTTGAAATATGAATTATTTTATGTAATTCAAAAAGTATTTGAAATTATGTTTGCAATGTGTGGATTATTGAATAAATCGCTTCACTGTGTATCTGTTCAAATTCTTTTCAAAATTAGTTAAGCATTTGAGGCTGAAATTACAGTTATGTGTATTATAAATATATATTGGCGTGCAAAATTAAACACTTTTTCAGTGAAAAAAAGATTTTCGTTGCTAATATTTGGAGTGTGATAATTTCGTAACAAAATATCGTACATTCTGCATGCATTTTAAAGCTTGGGGCGAATCATTTAGTGTATCCTTCGAATGTCTGTGTGTTTAATGTGTGGACATGGTGTGTGTATTTAATATATGTGGCCAAATATTCAAAATATTCAAAATTTCTTCCTCTTTGCCGTATCACTTCCTGACATTTTTCTCAAAATGTTTTATATTTTTTTTGTATATACATATACAATTGGGAGGTATACTTCGAAGGCTTTGGAGAGGTATCCCTCAAGAACTGATACGTTGGTGCATTAATATGCGAGATTTCGGGCGGTCATTATAATGTGAAGGCTGCTGACTTCAAATCCGCGACGATTGCAGCCCTAAAAAATATTTGTCGACGTCTGTTGTTTGAATTGAAACAATTTTTGAAAAAAAAAGTATTCTCACTATTCCACCCTCCCACCTCAAGTAGAAATGACCCTGGAGAAAAATGCGAGATGCTCTTGAAAGTAGAGGCTCCAAACTTTAAAATGAGTATGAAAAGATTGTTCGTGCGATGTTTTGTTAAGAAGGTATCATACAAGAAGGTAGCACACTTCAAATATCAGCAATATTTCGCTGAAAATTTCCTAAATTTGACCACCAGTGTGGCTCTACAGATATATCAAATTTTAAGGATTGTATCTGAAGTATCCCCTGTATGATTTGGAATGCGGCGTAACTGATAATTGTCTCGCTTTTTCTATGCTACGGGTGCTCCTGATAGAGAAAATAATGCTTCTTCAATATACTAAAATGAAAATCCATTTTCTTTTTCGCAGATACTCGGATATTCTAGAAAAAGTAAGAAACTCGGAAGAGGTTCTTCAGAAAGTATCAGTTTATAAAGATTTCTTCAAATTTCTCAGTGAAAAGACTGGTATAAATATAACTAGAACGAATCAAGTATATGAAATTTACAATCTATTGACATCACAGGTATATATGATTGTTCAGATAAATTATTGGGTTTTAATTACTTTGTTGTAAAGATAAAAATTAAACAGGGTCATATGTCCTATTATGTTACTAACTATAGTACTGTACCATTATACCACTATACTACTATTTTCTTTTTCTAGTATCCTACATTTTTATTATTCTACTGTTCCTTTCGTCTATTATACCACTACATTACTGTTTCATTGTACCAATACTCTACTCGCTCTGCTACATAAATTATATTAGTAGCAGAGTACTTTTTCTTTAATATTCAATTTATTCAATTCAATTTAATTTTGTAACTGTGCAATGGTATCATAATATACTACTCAAAAGAATTAAGAAAAAAAAAAAAAATCCTGAAATTTTTAGGTCATATTCAAATTGCTCTGCCTCCGCTAAAAGTCATTGTAGCAAACAACAAGAATAGTCATTTTTAACCGACTTCGAAAAAGGAGGAGGTTACTCAATTCGATCAGTATTTTTTTTTTTTTT